TCCACAGCCAATCCTCAAATCACTCTGCAGATTACTCTCTGTCCTGCAGAGTCCATCTGCTTCTTTCGATACTTTCTACCCAGTCAGCGCTTCGTTCGAACTGATCTATCTGCAGCAGATGTCGCCGGAAACCATGGATACTGGTCGACTTGCGATTCTGCACAGGCTCTGGCCGGAACAATGCGAAACAAGCTGTTTAGATCAAGGGTAGCTCTTCGGAGGAAGCTTTCTCCTCCCTCCATCGATCACCTGAGGTGACGAAGCTTTTCCCACTATCGTACAATCTGAGAGTGTCTATTGATTTCTTCTGGTCTTCATCCTCGTACAGACTGGCCGACCTGATGTGCCTTTCATGATTTCATGAATTCGTTGTTGGAGCTTGTCTCGCACATTTGTACTGCGCTCTTGGCACTCCATAATTCACATCCTTTGAGTCACGGTGATTGTGGAAGATTTCTTTGCTTGTGTTAATGCTATTGTCGACATCATTTCATTGTTGCTTCCGACTCGCTGACCTCTGAAGACAATCAACTCTACCCTTTGTTCTTCTTCCAGAAAAGCCTTTGCCTGCATCAAAGAACGAAAGGACAACACCTCTCCCAATTGAAAAGATACACCTCTCTCATATTCGGTAGAGTTCCTCGCCTACTCTGCAACTACTGAGTGGTCAAAACTTGCATCAACAACAGTATAGTATCCCTACATACTTTGCAAATTAACTGAGCCCGCGAGTCGACATTCCCGGCCATACTATACGCAGTCCGGTGTCATGGCTTCTCGGAATCAGAAGCCACTGGCTGGACTGCTTATTCCCACGGCTCCAAGCTTTCCTCTCTCATCACCGATCACAGAAGAGGTTCCCAGCCCCATCCCGTCGTCGCCGGACGACCACGAATTGTGGCGGAATCGCCCTTTCGCTCTTCTGAACAAAACAATCAGCAAGAATCCTTTCATTCGGAAGGCGACTTTTGATGATCAAATCCAAGGACAGGGTCATACTGGCCGTCTCTCTGGTGCAGGTGATATCGTACAAGGAGTAGTGCATGTGGAGCAAGGAGCTGAGCAGAGCTCAAGCAGAAGTCGCGGATTGAACTTGGTCACAGATTTCTCCAAACCAAGTACGACTGTACAGCACGAGGTGCCAGCACCAGTCTTCGTCGATCTGAACGATCTCAAGGCCCTTTCGCAGGTGCGCGAGCAAGAAAGAACTACGGACGGTACCTCGGGGACTGTGAAGTCGGTAGTGCCAGGGTCATGTGCACCACAATCTTTCGGGGTTATCGAGCAGAAGACGATAGGCAAGGACGAGCTGTCGCCTTCTGATAGACATATTATGATTGGGCTTCAAATGCCATTCCATGGATCGAAGGACTCGCCCGATGAAAGGCCAAGGGAAAGAGATCGGATGCGCTTTTCGCATACTCCACTTACACCTTCAATTATTGTGACTTCTGCCAAGGAAGACACATTTTGGGACGGATTCCAGCCGGCTCATCCCCGTCCCAGAGCGACATCCAGCATCTACTCTCAACCTACGCCATACCCCGATTATGACGATCATGATATACCGCCAGTGCCGGCCATCCCAGCCTTTCATGTCCGTGCGGATAATGAGAAGGCCAGCCCAGATTCCCCCTCTATGAAATCTATAATGTCATCAAGAAAACAGCGTGCATTTTCAACCGGAACTATCTTTGAGGAAGACAGTCCCAAGACCATAGGAAGATCAAGCTCGTTCTTAGTTGAGAAGGTGAAAAAGATCCCGGATCGACTGAGCATCAATACCGAAGCTACCCGGCAGTCGCAAGGCTGGTGGACGTACCTCATGTCCCCTCTCTTTCCCAAGACACCAGTCACCGCCGGAAGGCCTCCTGTGCCCAGTATCGCAACCCACTCCTCTGAACTGACGGACGAGTGGTGGGAGAAGGAAGTCTCGTACTTTTCGCCCGATACCCCGGATGCCGTTACAAACCCGCTAGATAACACCAACTCGAGTCCACAAAATCCCAATTCGGTTGAAGCTGAACGCAATATGACATCCTTTATGTTTCCTGGCGAGCCAATTCAGGGCTCTGCTGCCGAGTATTATCAGGCATGTGCCCACGAACTGTTTAGCGGGCGTCCTTATTTCGAATGTGTTAATCATATTTGTTCGATTACCCCAAAAGACAAGGTTGCGGCGATGATTACTGAGCCACCTGCGGTGATCACTCATGAGAAAGATCTTCTTATTGACGTGGATGATATGCCTGGAACTGAGAAACAACATCCACCTGGACCCTCCGATGTGGACACTGGTCTGCGTTCTGTTGATGGGATCTCCACTGTGGCTAAAAGCAGACAGAACCCTTTCCGTGATTCCGATGAACACAGCACTCTAAGCGGTCCTACGTTGACTGGGTATCCTCAAAGTGAATATCCTTCCAGCGAGCATCCTTCAAGCAAGGACGCTCCAGGCAAGGATACACCAAGTGAGGTCGCACCTAGCGAGCGCTCTCCGGGTACCCAATCTCTAAAGCAGCAACCTCAAACACAGAGCGCGAAGGAAACCGCCGAAGAGGTGCCATCTGCGCCGGAACATCAAGAAGGGCCAAGGGCAGCACCGGCGGCCGTCGCTGAGGGCCATGTTGAGAGGCAAACCCCTTACCCTGTCTACCAGCCAATCATTCAGCCAATAATCCAACCAGCCATACAACCAGCGATGCAACCAGCCAGCCAGCCAGCTCCTGTTGTAGTCTCGCAGCCAATTCCCCAGCCAGCGACTGCGGCTCCACCGACAGTGCAGAACTTTTACAATCACCCCGCCGTGGTTCCTTCCGCCGTTCTTATAGCTCCGCCGGAAAGAAGCTATTCGCAGTACATTGTACAGCCTGCATCGAATCCTGCTCCACAGCCGCAGCCTCCGGAGCCTGTGTCGCCTGCTTTTCAACGGATGACAGAAAGAGGATCAGTACCCTTAAGCGAAGTGCAGAACACACCGGCACCTGCCTATACCTCTTACCACCACAGCTCTGGCATCCTGCCCTCACGCATAGATCCACACCCACTTACACGGGAGGAGGTGGACTCAACCACGGAAAGACAGAAGATCGAAACGAAAAGACGGAGGCTAGAGAAGGAAGACGCTATTGGCCGGAAGTTAGGTGGATGCTGGCGTGGCAGAGGCCCGGTTAGCAAGAAAGGCTGTTTTGGCAGGTCGGGACGAGAAGGAAGAGTGAAGCGTCGGTGGTACTTGGCGATCTGCACTTCGTTCCTTATAATCGTCTTGCTCGCCCTCATTCTTGCCTTGACACTGACCAGGAAGGGAAGTGCAACGCCGGTGCAATCCCAATGGCTGAACCTTACCGGCTATCCCCCCATGCCAACTGGCATTGCGACCATCGCTGGGCCGAATCTTTACAAACGAGTCCCTGGCTGCATTGCTCCATCTTCACTCTGGAGTTGTGCCCTTCCGAGGGAGCAGCAGTTCGGTAACAAGCCGTACACGGCCGATGAGCCAAACTTCCGCGTCGAGATCGAATTCCGCAATGGAACCTATCCGAACAGCACGACGATCGCCTCACGATCATTAGTCTCTGGCCGCTCGTCTGGTACGGATCCCTCACCATCACCACCAAGCATGAAGGACCAAACCTTTCTTGGAAACACCACGGACAAGAATAGCGCCCCCTACACCGGCGAAGAGACGCCATTCTTCATGAGCTTTCTTTCGGCCTCCTCGACATCTTCCTCTTCCTCCACTCGTCGACGACTCACTCGCAAGAGAGATGACGCTTTTCCGGACCTCGACTCCCTCATTCCCTCACCCGACCTGAACTCAGACGGCACTGCCGCGGCCGCCGAGCTCTACCCCCTCTCGGAATCGCAACCCATTCGCCTCTACAATCGTGGGCAAGACACGGAACACTATGGGTTCTACACCTACTTCGACCGCTCCATCTTCCTTTCTTCACTCGCTCCTCTTAACGGCAGTGGTATAGACGACGACGCGAACGACATTGACGGCGGCTCAACCGAGGAGCAAGCCTGCGTGCGCTGCACCTGGGCGCAAACGCGCTTTCTTGTGCAGATCTGGACTCGATCAACGGATACATTGTTGAAGCCGTCATCAGTGTCCGCGTCCGCGTCCGCCACCCCGACTTCTTCCGCCTCGAGCGCTTCATCCACCTCTACCTCCTCCTCGTCCGCAACGGACTTCACCCGACCCGGTTCCTTCCCCTACCCTGTCACCATCACCTTGGACCGGCACGGCGGCGACGCGAAGAAGAAAATGGTGTACTGCTACGCGATGGAGGCGGACGAGAAGGTGAATTCCACGCTGGTAAAGCTGCAGGTTGAGGACCGGAGTTATGGTGGTCAGTTGGTGAATCCGGCGCCGGGAATCTTTGACTTTGCGAGTAATTCGTCTTCCTCTTCGGCTAATGAGACGAGCTCGGTGTATGGCGGGGTCGATGGTGGTACGGGAGGGTGTTCGTGTCAGTGGGTGAATTGGCTTTCGACATCTTGAATGGGATGATAGGGTGAGGTAGACAAAATCTCACTCTGCTACATACTGTATCTGGAACCACTTGGTTTCATAATGAGATGACTCTTACTAGAAGATTAAAAATGAACTACGATTATAATCTACTCTCTTGGGACTTTCTGAATGAGGTTTAACAATGCAGAATATCTGATTTTGTGTGTATCAACTGATGGAATTATTGTAAAGACTGTCCCTCCAAAACGCCTATCTCTCCTGTTTTCCCCAGATCAACTCCTTATTTGGCTTTGTTGTTCTTTTCTCACTTTCCCAATTCCCTTCCCAAGAAAAAATAAGGATGATTACCTGCCCAATAGGTCGATACATATGCAAGGCCCTCAAAGTGCAATCAAAAAGGAAAAAGCAAAACAAATCCATTCAAACAAAAGCAGATGAGCCAAAAAATAAAATGACGGCAGACAAAAGTCGACACGTTTTCAAGGCAACAACACCGTTCGTTACCCGCAAACAGGTAGGTCTCTATAAAGCAGTTATGCAGCAGTGAGTGAGTGAGTGGTCTTCGACATCCATCCCCGGGGGAACTTTTTCCAGTCTCAACCTAAACCAGCACCATCACCCCGACCACAATGCCCCCGACCAGCGACAGAGCCGAGGCGACCAGCTTCGTGCTCCCGCTCGTGGTAAGACCGTTCGTGGCGCTCGGAGCGGCCGGGGCGGCACCACCACCCTCGCCGCCGCCGCCGCCGCCACCGCCACTGCTGCCACCGCTGCCGCCGTTACCCCCGCCGGAGGTCGCCGAGTGGGTGGCCTTCGGGCTGGTGGTGTTGACGAACCCGGAGCTGGGCGTCGTCGCGGGGACGACGGAGGGGGTCACGATCGCGGGCGGCGCCGTGGTCAGGGGGATGACGGGCACGCTGGCCGGCACGGTGGCCGGCACGCTGGAGTTGGCGGGGATGGGGAACGGGGGCACGACGACCGCCGGGACGGTGGTTGCAGTGGGTTCCTCTGTCGCGGCGGGGGTCTCGGCCGTGCTGAGGACGACGGCGGGCGCTTGGGTCGTGGGCTGTTGCTCGGTCTGCACGGGCACCGGGATGGGCTCGGTGGCGCCGGCGGGCGTGGTGGGGATGCTGATGGGGATGGTGGTGGGCGTAGTGTCGGGCTGCGTGGCGTTCTGGCGCGCGTAGATGTTGCCGTGCCGGGCGTGGGCTTGGGCGGTGCCCGCGGCGACGGCCAGGGCCACTGCGAAATGGTTGGAGATGTGCATTGTGGTGTTTCTTTGCCTTGGGAGGGTGAAGTTAAAACAGCAGTGGTTTGACTGGGACTGGGACTGTTTTGCTTGAAGCAAAGATGGATGAGGAAGGATGGACGATGGACGATGATGCAAGGATGAGAGAGGTTGTGATGGGAGGGGTGATGGAAGGAAGCTTTATAGCTTTTTTTTCTGTCGATCGAATCCGGAAGCTGGTCCTCGGGACTTTGGCCTGGCTGTTGTTGCTTTCGTTTTGGGGTTGTTTGTTTGATTCTAAACATCCCATCTTGAGTGGTGAAGAAGTCCCTTGTTCGAAGCCAGATTCGACATAACACAGTACTGCATTCGGAGAAGCAAAACAGACACCGAGTTCAATGCAGAGATGCTCTGAGTACTGATGGATCCGGATCAGGTTCCATGGCCTGTCCACAGTGGTGGATCTTCTCGACTGAAGTCCTTCATGTCGAGAACAGTTGATATCATGTGACTTGGATCCTCGCTCAGCTCAGCCCTATCCTTGCCGAAATGGGAACCCGTCGCCGGAAGCAGGGACCAAGCAGGAATGTTGATCCATTCTTGGACTACTTTTAGACCAGCAAGTACCTTAGTAGTAAGCTTCTGGAGCCCTGGCGGCACTCTGTGGATGATTTAGAAGGTGAGTCAGCTCTCAGGTGCTCCTCAAGACTTCCGCAAGTGATGGTGTGGCGTTCACGGTTGTGTACGCTTTCAACGGGCGCCCGAGAATTCGCCAGCTGAGTCCGGTTGGCCGCGTATACAGTACAGTTGGACCCTACGTTCAAGAGCATTGCTCAGAGGGCTCCCGGGTGCGAAGAATCGTATCGATATTCTAGGTTAGGCTGCGTGTAGACGCTGTGTTGAGACTTGTGAGTGAAGCTAGATCATGGTTATTGCGGTTTGCGGAAATACAGCATTTGCCACTTGATCCGGAGAGGTGACGACCATGCTAGTACTGCAATTAGAGTGGAGTTAACTTTTTCTGCCTTGAACAGCTTGTCGCCGATTTCATGGGCTACAATCGAGTAGATAGTATGGGGTATGGGGTAGAATCGAGCATCGAAGCTGAAGGATGGGCGAACTGTGGGATGATCCCCTTTTCGGCACCGGCCCGGAGATCGCCCGAACTCCAATTGATCTCCCTATCAATCAACTAACTTATCCATTAAATCATCATTCATTCACTTCGCTTTCCTCTCAACCTGTCCATCCCTGCTTCCCACGTCTGTGTTAACGCGTGTTTCTTTCACATCCGGCCCCATGCCAGCTATTATCCCCCATGCTTTCACGACGTAATAATCGCGACGCTTCCCTTCTTTCCCCCGGCGGCTACGACGAGGATGCCGAGTCGCTACGTTCCCCCTCAGAGCAGGACTCTGACTCCGAAGACGACGAATTCCTCCGCCGATCTCGAACCACTCTAGAACTTGCAGAACACGATCGCACGGTTCTAGACGATGAAGAAGAGACCGAAAAGCTGTTGACCAGAAGCGGTCCGACTCATGGCCTCCGCCGCATTTTTAGCCCCAATAGTAGCAGTGTCCGGATCGGGAAGCAGGAACGCAGGCGACAAAGGAGGCAAGCCAGGAAGGATGCGCGCAGGGGGCGTCTGAGAAACTCGCGGGAATCAGCAGAGATGCTGTTCGAGATGGAAGAGGGCCACCCGGACGATGAGAGCTCTCTCTTGAGTTCTTCCTCATCGGACCTGGACCGTCGGCTCAAGGATTACACATCCGCCCCAGTAGGCCACCACAAGGTCCCCCCGGTGCAGTTGCGTATGATTTTTATTGTTGCTAACCTATCTCGGTTGCAATAGCCACCGCGTGTTTCATGGCGTCGACTCTTGTTGATCTTCTCCACCGTCCTGGTTCTCTTCTTCATACTCCTATTAGGTGCCTACAAGGCATCAACGAAATTTCGAGCCTCACATTCCTCGAAACGTTTCTTATCCAACGGTACCGCTCTTTTTGCGCCAACTACAATCCTCATCTCTCTCGATGGCTTTCGTGCGGACTTTTTGAACCGGGGCTTGACCCCGGCCCTCAACTCCTTGATCGCGAACGGTGTCTCTCCGCAATACATGCTGCCCAGCTTTCCTAGTGTGACATTCCCGAACCACTTCACCCTCGTGACTGGACTATATCCCGAAAGTCATGGAATCGTTGGAAACACATTCTGGGACCCAGATATGGAGGATGAGTTCTACTACACCCATCCCAGCGTTAGCATGCAGCCTAAATGGTGGAATGCTGAGCCTCTTTGGATGACGGCTGAGAACCAGGGCGTGAAGGCTGCGATCCATATGTGGCCAGGCTCGGAGGCACATATCGGTGGTGTCGAGCCAACATTTCTCGATCGCTACAATGGCTCCGAAGCACTTTCGCGAAAAGTTGAACGCATCCTGGGCCTGTTGGACCTCCCTGGCGTGGAGGACCAGACGCAATCGTCCCGCCCGCAGTTCATTGCTGCTTACGTTCCCAATGTCGACGCTGACGGGCATCTGTACGGGCCCAATAGCACGGAGACGCGGGGCACAATAGCGAAGGTTGACTCCATGCTTGCTAGTCTTCTTACAGGCCTCCAAGATCGCAACTTGACTGAGATCGTCAATGTTGTGATTGTTTCTGACCATGGGATGGCCAGTACTGCTACCGAAAGACTGGTGCAGCTGGAAGACTTGATTGACCTAAGCTTGGTCGCCCGCATTGATGGCTGGCCTTTGCGTGGGCTTCGCCCCAAGCGGCCGGACGACCTTGCAGTTCTCCAGAATCAGCTGGAGAGCGTGGCATCCAACTTCTCTCATGCGCTGGAAGTTTACACGCGGGAGAACATGCCCAAACGATACCATTTCCAGAACAACGACCGGATTGCACCTCTTTGGGTGATCCCCAAGGCAGGTTGGGCAATTGTTGAACGGCCGGATTTCGATGCTCATCAAGCCCTAGAAAAAGGAGAAATCTATCATCCAAAAGGAATCCATGGGTACGACCATGAACACCCCTTAATGCGGGCGATCTTCATAGCAAGAGGCCCTGCGTTCCCCCATGAACCTAATAGCCGATTGGAAGTCTTCCGTAAGTGCAGAATTCGCTTCCGTACTCTTTGGCCGGTAGCTGACTCATTTAGAAAACATCAATGTCTACAACCTGATCTGTGACTCCCTCGGGGTGACACCACACCCCAACAATGGAACTCTTCGTCTCCCTCTGAGGCCGGTGGGCCTACATTCTGACGAGGATTCGCCTACCCTCGAGGATCCTTCTGATCCACCATCAGTCACGACCACCGTCGTCGAACTCGTTAAGCCATCGACGACACCAACCACGACCTCGTCCATGATTCTTGCCAGTCCCACGTCCTCAGCTGACATGGCGGTTGATACGCCACCGGAGACTAGCTCACAAAGCGAGGACGAAACGGGTCCGAACTGGTGGGGAACGTTGTGGGAGAAGATAGAAGAGGCCAAGGACTGGGCGACTGATGTGTTTGACACTGTCAAAGATAATTTTGTGACGGGGTCGTCCTAGATGACGATTCTTGTTCATTCATCCATCCATTACATCTTTTCCTTTTCTCATTACATCTATACCGACTTCTCAATCAGTCTTGTTGGGTGTTCTGGGGGCAGTACCACATACAGCATATATTAATTCGAGATACCCACAATTGATACTAGAAATATTGAACTTCAACCTTCTGGCAAATGTTGACGATTTCCCAAAATGGGAGCCCGACTGCAGGATGACATCATGTGCAAGACAAAGCGGCTGAGCTGAGCCTCCTTTTTGTCCCTTTGTGGCGATCCTTTCCTTCCACTGCACTCATTCTCACTGCAGCCTATTACGCGACACTGTCGGTGACTCAAGCCTCGCTGCAGTCCATCCAGTCACAGCCCTGTCGGCTAGAGTTACACTGATTCATAAACCGTGGTGCAGCAATATGGTCTGGAACCATTCGGCATCCCCTAGTTCGTGGCAGCCTGACACACTGTCATGCTGCCTGGCTGACTATAAGAGCGAGAAAGCTATAAAGAAGTGAATTTCTTTCAGCAAGGTCTCACTCTTTCTACCTGCTCTAGGGGCCTTTGTCTCTCTTGTTGAGCGCAGCCTTGTCTGCTGCCTGCGTCCCGGTCAAGCTTGAATACAAAGGTTCTGTACTTTGTTCGGCTTTGGATCCGAGAATTGATCCGATTGTAATACACACTCACAGTTCAAGATTCGTTCCTATAAATCTCTCTCGAGGCCCTCTCAAGCATGCTTGGTTTCTGCAACGAGCCTTCAGCTGCGGCTCCTATACTCGCCACCATGAATTCGACCACTCCAATCTTCAATACCTCCGAAACCGCCATCCTGGAGGGGCTCATCCCCGGGTATGCGTTCATCTCGCGGCTCCTGTTATCATACCTCCACATCGACCTTTCGCTCTACATCCCATACATCTTCACGGCCATTAGTATCTACTTTGCCTCCGACCATGTGTCCCACCATGTTCAGGGCCTGTTCCGGAGCCATCTCATGGCCTCAACTGAGGTTCGCATCTACGACGACGTCTACATTTACCTCATGTTCTGGATTTCGCGCCACCGATGTATGCAGAGCACCAGGCACATCTATGCCAGCACCCAGCTCTCCGTTGATCGGTACTACTACGACTCGGACGACTCGGATGACGAATCCGAAGAGGAGATCGATGAGGAAGAGATCGCAAGGAGCAGTTTTGATGAGTACTGGAACAAGATGATCGCCCGGGACCGCACAAAGCGCTTACGCTTTACACCAGCTCATGGAGTCCATCGCTTCCGGTACAAGAACCGCCTGATCTTCCTCAATCGCGTGCGCGACCGGTCCACCAACTCCTTGTACATGCAGGACAATTCGGAACGCCTGATTATCTCGTGCTTTGGACGGGACACCACGCTCCTTAAGCAGCTGCTCGCGGAGGCGCAGGCGGCGTATGTTGCACGCGACGGTAACAGCACGGTCATCTATCGTGGTCAGAAGGCGAATGGCCGTACCGACTGGATCCGTTGCATGGCGCGTGCGCCGAGGGCACTTTCCACTGTCGTGCTGGACCAGACCCAGAAAGATGAGTTTGTCAATGACATCAAGGAATACCTGCATCCAAGGACTAGAAGATGGTACTCCAACCGCGGGATCCCGTATCGACGCGGCTATCTGCTTCACGGGCCTCCGGGGACCGGCAAGACGAGCTTGAGCTTCGCCGCTGCCGGGGTGTTGGGCGTGCCGCTGTATCTACTGAATCTGAGTTCCAGAAGTCTGGATGAGGATGATCTCATGGGCCTCTTTCACCGACTGCCTCGGCGATGTATTGTGCTCCTGGAGGATGTCGACTGCGCGGGTATGACGCAGAAACGCGGGCCTGACGACAAGGACAAGGACACCGACACCGACCACGCTGCCTCTGCCCGGAAGCCGCGAGACAAGGCTGAGGGCGGCCCTCCGGAGAAGCAGGGGATCTCGCTATCCGGTCTACTCAATGTCATTGATGGTGTGGCCGCCAGCGAGGGTCGCATTCTCATCATGACTACCAATCATCCCGAGAAGCTGGATGCCGCGCTGCTCCGTCCTGGACGCGTGGATATGAGCATCGGGTTTGGCTATGCGCAGAGCCACGATGTCGAGGAACTCTTTGCGTCTATCTATTCCATGCTGGAGGGTGATTTGCGTTCTGCAGATACGGGAGGTAGCCTTGAAAAGACCCGGCACTCCATGACCAACGGAATAAAGCCCGTGAATGGGAAGCAATCTCTTGTAATCACTCCGGGGGATATTTCGAACTTGGCACGACAGTTTGCAGCACAGGTTCCCTCTGGTGAGTTTACTGCTGCAGAGGTTCAGGGATATCTTCTGAACTACAAGAACAATCCTCAGGAGGCGATTGATTGGGTGGAGCAGTGGCTGAAGAACACGCGCGAGACACGCGAGATGCGTCTTGAAAAGTTGAACTCGAGCAAGTAAAGCATGTGAATGCATATGCTACAATGCTGTTGAGTCGACAAGATCAAGATATATGACATAGCCTAGTTGGTAGTATTACTCAGTAATGACAATAGATTCTATTATTCCATCGATGCTCAAATAAAGTGCGAAATGGTCGCGAGGCAGTCAGCCGAGGAGACTACTCCAGAAAGAGAAACCGAGAAACCCGAGAATCAACAAACAACTTTCCCCTCGACTTCCCCTCGACTGCCACTTCTCCTCGTAACTCAACTTCGCAAATTGTGTACAGTGTCACATCCGACTCTACCCACAGATCATTTCTCCTTATGCTACCCTAATCCACCGCCTGATAACTTTCCATTTGCCGATCCCGATCGAAAGCGGCCGCGATCGACACACGACTTGCGGATATTTCCCCGCAACCCCCCCCCCCCCCCCAAATTCCTGAAATGCGGGGGACGTATTACTGAGTCCTCAGTATCCATTCACCCGGGTACGCACATTGAGATTTCGGATTGGAAGAGCTTATCTCACACGACTCCATCGTCTGTCCATTCACCTGATGCGGCAAAACAACACGGGGTTTTCCCGTTCCATGGTCAACATAAGCCGATCGTCCACTCAAAGGAGGAAAAGCACACTCCGATATACCGGATGACCGTTTCCATAACTTCGAATACCATCCAGAAAAGCCAAAGCTGTTGGGCGGCGCTCAGGTGATAAGGCATGGCGATAAGGCAAGGGACACAACCCAGATCAAGGGTCTACCACCAGCATCGCGGGATCTGACGTCGACGATGCAGGAAAGAAGGTTGTCATGCAGCGTGAGTCAGCGGACTTGCGGTGTCCTTGAGGCTCTGGCTTGTCCAGAATGAACTCGAATGATATTGGTTGTTTGCTGGAAGGACGTAAGGTGAGCAAGCGACTGACTGCCCGAAATCTTGGCCGAGGAATGGTTTGAGGGTGGACGTTTGCCTCTTGACCAAGTCACTTTTTTTGCGCTGCCAAGTCTTTTGGACCATCATTCAGAGGTACCCGTCCACACTCCACAGGGCAACAGCATCTAGATGGGCGCATCTTGGCTGGCGGACCCGACGGTGTTAATTGCTGTTGGGCTTTGGAACCCGGCGGTGGTGGTGTACGAGTCAGGCACGAAATGCTGAAGCGGCGGCAGTGGCTGACTTTCCAAGCACTGCGCCTTGCGGCCTATCAGATACAAGACAAGGTATGCACGGCACTGTGAATCCAGTCCGGGCCAGCAATCATACTGGTTTCCTTTTGAACTTGCAAGATTGAAATTGTTGTCTCGATGCACCTCCAGTGTATTCAGCATACACACACACACACACACATATGTTGGAGTGGTATGATCAAATTCCGTCATACCCCTTGGTGGCTGTCCTTGAATTTTTACTCACCCCTCTCTTCCCTTCGATTTATGCTTTCTTATGGCTTTGCAAGAAGGTTCATACTTTGAGTCTAATTCATCAACTCCCCTCTAGTTGTGATCTAGTATCACGCTTGCGGGAATCATGGGGCTAAGTTAGCACTAACTAGGGTTACAAAGATGTGCTTCCTGTTTTCCTTCCTGTTTTCGGGAATTTCCATTCCCCAACATCCGTGCTTTGTTTCTGGTCCGCTCGCCCAGACTGACAAGTCGTTGATGAAACATCAATTGCTCACCCCAGTGGCCGACTGCAGGTCGTGCGCACCGTTTGCTGTCGGTTCGAAAGGGCAGCCTTGCGGCAGTTGCACGGCGATCCTCTCGACCTACCAGCCGCCAGTCCAGTCACAATCGATCGATCGATTTCTTGGTTAATCATGCTGCGCTACTCTGCTCAAGCTCGGTCACTAGACCTGTGGCCCGGTGAGGAGGAGGTCGCGGACTTTGTCCCCGCAGCGAGATAACTGTTGCTCCTAGACTGGGGCCATGTGTTGCATCCTGACCGAGACCAAGAAACCCAATCCTGCTTGGTTCTTGAGACGCCCGGTCAACTGATTGATGAATTAGCTCATTATAGCTCAGACCAGTATAGCCAACTAGAAGTCATCAATGCAATGGATGACCCGCCTCTTTACTGAGGAATTTCTGCTCGTCTCCGATATAAAACGGCCCTGTCCAGTCATTTCCGGTGGTGTGCATCGTCCTCCTGGTGACTGGCCTGCACTTGCATTTTTTTTATACTGACTGTGTTTATAATCAAACCCCAATGCGGCTTATTCAGGGCGGCCGTTGGCCTTCGGGGCTTCTGCTGGCAGCAACAGCGCCGGTACTGGGCTCTCCTATCGCGCCTCGATCCGCAGGCCCTTGGCTTGCCATTGATTCCGACTTCCCCGACCCCGGCTTTGTTCAAGGTGATGACGGGGCATGGTACGCGTTTGGCACCAACGGCAACGGCAGGACCGTCCAGGTGGCCACATCCCCTGACTTCGAGTCTTGGACTCTGCTGGATAAGGAGGCCATGCCCACCCTGGCTGGCTGGGAGACAGCCGTGGACCACTGGGCTCCAGATGTAGTACAGCGGGTATGGTCCAAGCGTTTCTTTGTTAGCAAGCCGAAGCTGTTTTCAGGGGGGGGAGGGCAGTAGATGATCAGCCAGGGCCCTTTTTACCTTCTACACTCTTTTGGCCATCGAGCTGACCAAGGAAACCTAATCAGAACGACGGCAAATTCGTCCTCTACTACTCAGGCGAAGCCAAAGACGACCTCCGCCACCATTGCGTCGGCGTCGCCGTCTCCGAAACCACCGACCCGACGGGGCCCTACATCCCCAACTCCACCCCGTTGTCCTGCCGACTGGACCAGGGCGGCTCCATCGACCCCTCGGGCTTCCTCGACCGCGACGGCAGCCGCTACGTGGTGTTCAAGGTGGACGGCAACAGCATCGGCAACGGCGGCGACTGCAACAACGGGATCGCGCCGCTCAAGCCCACGCCGATCCTGCTGCAGAAGGTCGCCGACGACGGGTTCACGCCCGTCGGCGACGCGGTGCAGATCCTCGACCGTGACGACAGCGACGGGCCCTTGGTCGAGGCCCCCAACCTGATCCTGCACGGCGACACGTACTTCCTGTTCTACTCGACGCACTGCTACACGGACCCCAAGTACGATGTGCGCTGGGCTACGAGCAAGTCGATCACGGGCCCGTACACCAAGTCCGGCCGGCAGCTGTTCGCCTCGGGCCAGTGGAGTCTGACGTCGCCGGGGGGTGGCACGGTGTGTGGGTGCGGGGATCGCATGCTGTTTCATGGGTTCTGTGGAGGGGGTAGGCGGTGTACGTATGCGGCGAGGTTGGAGATTCAAGGGGAGGATGTGGTTGTGTTGTAGGATGTGGATGTGGGCTTCTTGTGGGCGTGTTTGGAATTGTATAGTGTTTATACTGTGGATAGCGAATACACATAGCGGATTATATACTGTACTGGTACAGTCAGCGCAGCAGCAGTAGCAGTATAGGTCCATTCCTATTACTTGTAGAAGAGAGCGATCCCGGGGGTTCCCCCCGGACCCCCATCTTTCTTCCCAGTAGCAGTTGAGTATAAAATACACCATATACCAGGGAAAAGCCCAACCCAACACCTAGGTTCCAAATTCATAGCCTCATAAACTCATACCTTCATAACTCCCAAACACCAACAACGCCAACCACACCCAAACCACCATATACAGATATACAAAGTATACAAATCACCGTACCCGGGGGCCCCCCCCCGGACCCCTGTCTTTTCTTTTTTCTCATCAAGAAACCAAGCTACGAACCCCCCAAAACCCAATCCTCAAAAGCCACCACCCCCTCGCGGCCCTCCAACACAGGCACAAACCCCGACACCCGACTATACGCCCCCACCAACTCGCGCCAGTAACACGCCTCCGCCGCGGGCGTCAGATACCGATCGCGGAACGTCCGCACCGCCTCGTCGGCAATCCGCTCCGCCACCTCGGGATGATCGATCAACCACCGCATCTTCGCGTCCAAGTCCGCCCACCCCTCCTCCTCGACCACGACATAGTTCGCCTCCGGGTGCGGCGCCGCCACCAGCGCGGCATGGTGCGCCTCCCGCCACGACAGCGGGTGCGAGAGCACCACCGACCTGCAGTTGAGGAGGTACTTTCCACGCCCGGAGAAGCTGCGCCCCTCCGTGTGCGCTAGGAACATGTAGCCGCAGTGTTCGTGCATCGGGAGGAAGGCCTCCGGCATACCCTTACCTGAACCTGAACCTGAACCGGCGGACGCATCACCGGAAGCAGAATCCCAGTCCAGAGTATGCACGCTGGACCAGCTCTTCCCCTGCGCGGCTTTGAGGAGCGTCCCCCGCACGGCGGGGTTGGTGGCCGTGCTGCCGCGCCAGAGAAGCTGTTTGCGCTTCTGCGCGAAGGAGGGGAGGGTCGATTCGAGGGTGGCGATGCGCGCGCGCAGCGCGCCGTACGGCCCCACGCCCACCTCCGGCCACGACCAGTACCCGAAGTCGGGCATCAGCCAGGTGTGTCGGTGGTGCGGGAGTTTAGTGTACGACCAGATTGGCGGCCCGCCGGCGGTGGTGGGGGGCGGGAGGTAGAAGTCTTCGGTGGTGAGGATGAATTCGAGGGGTGGGAGGGGGTCCGGCGAGGCGGCGAGGGCGCGGTGCAGCGCGTGTAGCGTTGCTTTGGCGCGGCTGAAGGTGGCGGGTTGCGGGGTGTAGGTGATTATGTAGAGCTTTTTGTAAGGGGGTGGTGAGGTTAGGTTGGGTTGATATTTAGGTGTAGGGGGGGTGGGTTGACACAAGGAAAAGGGCAAAACCTACCTGTCCATCCGCAATCATCCCCCGCACCATCCCATCCGCCATCTCGATCTGATCCAACTCCTCATAGCGGATCGGGTTCTGCGCGCGCGTCGCCGTCGAGTTGTCGATCTCCACGAACAGCTTGGGGAACGCCGCGCGGCATTGCCGCGCTGTGAGCCCGTAGTTGTTGCCGTCGCGCGTCACCTCGAATTCCCACGCGGTGGTGGTGTTGCTGCTGCTCATAGAAAGTTCCGCGGGCGGCGGGGCACATCCCCCGGTCTGCAGAGATGTCTTCAGCGCATATTTGGCGACCGAGGTGGAGTACTGCGTGCCGAAGATAAGAAACGTCGTGATGATCAGCGAGAGGAC